AAACAGTTTGAACAATTTCATGAAAATAGCTAATAATGTATTTTCAGACAAAAGTATATAGTACCGGTTTTTTTACCCCCAACAACAAAAATCCAAGTTAACTGGACAAGAACAAAAAAAAAAACTGTGGAAAAAAATCAAAAGCACTATGAAAATAAGTTTTTCAATGTAAATTACATGAAAAAAGTATTCTCAGAATACGTTTCAAAAAAAAAATTATAAAAAAAACGTATTCTGAGAATACGAATTTTTTATTTTGATCCAGATTTCTTTTTTTTTTTTGTTTTTATTTTTGTCCACTTGTTTTTTCTGTTTTTATATATATAAATTTCCCAGGGAGTACCTTTTATTTTTAGAATTACACTTTTGTAACGGTTATGCACTAATCAATTATTACAAAGCGACAAAGCGGAAAGCCGTAGAAGAGATGTGATTGGTGTTGAGAACAAAAACAAAATAGCAATCGTTTAGTTTATCCATAATCCATTTTATCAAATCAACCAAAAAAAAAAAAATAATAATAAAAAAATTGAAATTTGCTTTGTATCCTTCTTCTCAGATTCCCACTCTCCATTTTCATTATCTTCCTCGTACCGCGCCGAACGATCTCGGCGTTCCCTACGCTGTGCTCTTCTTCTCAACCCAGTAAGTTGCAGGAAAGCACTAACGACGCCATGTTTAGATATTACGGATGCAAAATCTGTTTCATTTGCGGTTTTTGGATTTTTATGAAATTTTACTGTGTGGATACTTTTGTTGATCGTTTGTGAATTTGTTTGGTTTGGATTCAGTACGAGTACTGTGTCAGTTGCTTGATTACTTCACCAGTTGAGTGCTCTTTTGGATTTTCAGTTTTGTTTTTAATTTATTGTTCGTAGAAATGTGAGCTTTGCAGCGTTGGTTATGCTGAATAAAGTTGATGTTTCGGATATAGCCATTTCGTGTCGAGTTATTGGCTAATCATCAACTATTTTGGCCATGTTGTGGTAAAAATACTAAATACCAGCTGTCGCTGGATTTTGCTTCCAGTGTGCAGAAATGAATGTTTCTACTTGGGAGCTTTTTTGTTCTAACTGTGTATATGTTTTGTTTGTGTTCTGCTGTTTAATTTTTTTTTTTTGGATTCAGTATGAGTACAATGCTAGTTGCTCGGTTACTTCACTAATGATTGCTCTTCTGGTTTTCCATTTTATTTCATCAATTTATTTTTACTTTGTAAACTGAGCTATGGTTATGGTGGAGGTGGGTAAAGTTGATGTTTCAGATATAGCCATTGATTATGCTAGTTATTGACTAACTACCATATAGTTTGGCCATGTAATGTTCACTACCAGCTGTGGATGGATTTTGCTTTCAGTATGCAGATTAGAAGCTTCTTTGTATTATCTGTGTATGTGTTTCTTCTGCTGTCTGCTGTTTTAAATTTGTCCGCAACGAATGTTGGTTTGCAAACCATAAAAAGGACAAAAGAAAATCGAACCATTTTTATCACTGTAAATTTGTAGCACATGTTGATGTATTGATGTTGAGGCAGACCCTTGCTTTCGCCAGATTTTTCCACAATTAGTGTCATGTTGAAAGTTTGGTTAGTTGATTCACCTGTTGTTCTGTGGCAGGCATGGATAATGGTGGAGGTCTGAGTTTGTTCCCACTGCATCGCACCAAGACCATTCACCTGGTTGGTATCGAAAAAAATTGCTACCTAAAAGTTTCTGATTGTATTTCGAGAAATTTTGAATGTGCTGCGTCTTTGATTTAAGGGACACTTTCGATTGTCTTTTCTGACTAGGAATTTGGTAAATATTCAAAGGCTTTCTGTTCTTAATAAAACGTCTATTTAGGTAAGGCACGCTCAAGGAATCCACAACGTAGATGGGGATAAGAACTACAAAGCTTACATGTCCCCAGAATACTTTGATGCACACCTTACTCAGCTGGGCTGGCAACAGGTTTTTAAGTAGCTGCCAGCTAATAACTTGACTAGTTGCTCAACCGTTTTCTATCTCCTGAAACCCTTAATTCATAGGAGTTATCACATTTGGCTGTTGTACCAGGTTGACAATTTGCGTAAACATGTGCATTCAACTGGGCTTATAAAGAAAATTGATGTGGTCATCACATCTCCATTGCTAAGGTAGTACATATCTGGTATAAATGAATGTAATGTTAATCTAGCTAAATAATCATACTCTGTTACCTTGATGATGAAATACTGTCCTGCTGAAAAAAAATAATCATCTTAGAAAGAAAATGAAATTCCAGGAAGCTTATCTCTTTGATTAAACTAACTGAAGAATTGAGTATATGGTAAGAGAACTGCTATACAAGGTTGAAAATAAAAGGGTATCTTTCTCGAATGTGCTAGTACGTGAATTATTCTTGTCCATGAGAGTCAGTTAGTGTCACGTCCCCATTTCATGTTGCACCAGCTCTACTTGTAGCACCTTATGCACGTCTGACTTTGTCAAACCATCTCGAAATCTATATGCGACATTCAGAAACTTTTCGGAGAGATTCTTTATTTGGGTAATAGTTTAGTAGCAAGTTTCTAATATTCATTTCAATTTTATATTTCTCTGTAGGTTTTTGTGGAAATATAGGAGATAAATATTTGTTTATGTTTGTACCTACTTTGCTCATGTATTGTACCTTTGTTAATGATTTGAACTCATAGGACCATTCAAACAGCTGTTGGGGTGTTTGGTGGCGAGGGCTATGCAGATAGGAGGGATAAATTACCATTAATGGTAGCAAATGCTGGAAACAGCGGCCGTGCTGCAATCTCAAGTCTAAACTCCCCACCAATTCTTGCAGTTGAACTGTGTCGAGAGCATTTGGTACGTCTACTGGTGCAATATGATTGGCCCGGTCCTCCTTTTTGTACATTGTTACTGTTTCAACATTTAATACGTCATGATGTTCCTATATTGGTGTTCTTCATATGATATCGAAAACAGAGAGATTTTGTGTTGTTTCTGAATGCTCAGAAAAAGTTGGATATGGTGAAAACCTGTAGAGAGATATTTTACATACTTGTGGCGGAATAAAAGGAACCTCGGAGCCCAATGGTGCAGACTTATGTTATATGACTAGTTATAATATATAATGTTGGATGTGAGTCGGTTATAAGAAAATTTATGAAAATTCTTTGGCCCTATTCACAATGAAACGGCTCTTTTTGTCGTATGATGCCGAAAGTAAAATTATTAAGTCATTTAGCTTTTCAATTTCGTATGTGATTTTTTATTATTAAAACATTGAAACTACACCGGGACTTCCACAATTCTAGTCTCTTAGCGTTTAAGGGCACAACTCTGGAAACACCCAAACTTACTACTTTTCATGTAGAAATCTGGGCCAGCTGAGTCTAGGACTTCTGATTCTGTATTAAAAAAAGGACAATAACATTTTACAGCTAATGACGCAACAGCTGAACAACTTTAATAAGATGATGCGTTAGGAGCGAAACGTTTAAGAATTTTTACTTCAAGCTACAAATTCTTATTTTGCAGGGAGTTCATCCTTGTGATAAGAGGAGAAGCATTAGCGAATATCAGTTCCTTTTTCCAGCAGTTGATTTTTCCATGGTTAGCTATGTAACTGTTGCCAAGTTATTTTGGCAGTGCTAACATGCCTGAGATGGATGCACTTTCTACTCACTTCTTGACTTTTATTCAGATAGAGAGTGATGATGACAGTTTATGGAAGGCTGATGTCAGAGAGACCAAAGAGGAAGTAGCAATCAGAGGAAAGAACTTCCTGAACTGGTGAGTAGCTCTTTTCAAAGTCCATATAATATCAGTGACAGACAGAAAGTTGTAAATAATCTCCTATTCTCAGAAAATTGCATAATTTGCTTTTCCACTGAGTCGGTGATAAGTATAGGTATTATGACAAAATTTGAAGCTGGTTCGCTCATTACACTTTGATAGTAATCAGAGAGGGTAATATAGTTTCATTATATTGATTCAAATTGCTTTTAAGATCACAAATATAGTTTCAGTGCATTTCTTCGGATTCTTCTTCTTTTTTCCATCATTTTTCCTTCTCTCTTTTTAATAATATAAATACCTACCTGTGCTGTTGTACCTAGTTTGCCTGAGACAATGTGCATGCAGCATATAGAGAGGAACCTGTTCAATAGATGTGATTTATGTTGTGGTAGAATAATCATTCAAAGTGGTTCTGAAGCCTGTGTATTTGCATGTTTTCTCGTGATAGTGTTACTTTCCATAGCCATAATCATTTTGGGCTACAAGTGTTATATTCTTCATTTGTTTACAGGTTACTCACAAGGAAAGAGAAGGAGATTGCAATAGTTACACACAGTGGATTCTTGTTTCACACACTTGCTGCATTGGGCAATGACTGCCACCCTCTCGTGAAGAAAGAAATTTCTAGTCAGTAAGTTCCCATCTTCATCACACATTCATTGAGGAAAAACAAGATTTTGAGTAAATATATTTTTATTATCTAATGGTGATTACCATTTCGCCGTAATGAACTCTCTGGCAACTTTGTCATTTTGTAGCTTTGCCAATTGTGAGCTTCGTTCTATGGTCATCGTGGACAGAAGGTAAAAAACCTCACGACTTGTAAACTGCTTCCGATTACAAAATTTAGCCCTATTATTCGGGTTTATTGAAACAATTCAATGCATTTGACAGCAATATTGGTTCGGATTTTTCATCAACTAATTATCCTGGAAAGATCCCATCTGGCCTTGATGCTCCTAGTGATGCTGGTTGCAATCCAGATCAAGAGAAAGACTCGCCCAACTCAATACCAAAGTAAAAGAGGGTGTTAAAATGGAGAAAGTCCCACTTTCAACAGCAGGATTGGATATGATTGGTGATAAGCCTGTCAGTGTCAGATGAGTTAAAAAACCGAGTAAACGAGTGAATGATGTGCACAACCATATTAGGTCATGTAAAAGAGCTAGTAGGAAGCTGTACTGTGTAGTCTGTACCTAGTTTCATGTTAGCCTACATTTTTTGCTCATTGTCTGGTAAGATGCCATTACTATCGAGAGCATTATTAGCTACAAATTGTGTTGGGGGCTATTTTTCTGCAAAGACATAGCACTTTGCAATTATCTGTGTTTCATTTTCTGTTCCATTGGTCTCAAATTGTTTTCTTTAGATATATGGATTACATCATATCATATGCTTTTTCAGATCTTTTGCTCACTTGTGTTAGTAAACAAAAAGATGGCAATATCTCAAAACACATTCATGTATTTAGTTAAATTGCAGTTCCTCGGGGGCAGAATAGTTTCGAAATTTGCTTGTTTTATAAAATCAACCCTAGATCACATGTGGGTTTAAACAATATTTTGGTTTTTATTTTCTTTTTAACAAACCAACCATTGGCCCCATGTGAAATAGGTTAAACAATCAGTGATGAATGATGTATAGTCCTTTGTGTTCAGTTCCCTTTCAACATGTCGTAAAATTGCAACGGTTTTTTCTTTGGTGTGCTGCAAAGTTCCTGAAATATGTAAAGCATCACTGTTAGGGGCTTTATTTGTTCTAGTGCCTGATCCAAAAGTGGACACTGAGAAGTTAGAGAGTTTTTGCATTGGAAAAGACAGAAGCAATACCTCTACTGCAACAGCCAAACGTAAAATTGTAGCCTCACACCATGGCCGGCCAATAATTTGTAGGCCAATCGGAAGTCCCTGCTTGTCATATCCGACCTGAATAACGAACGAAAGCATAGAGAAGAAATNAATTTTAAAAGCTGAGAATAGATCAGCACTGTACTCTATGAAATTGATAATCTAACGATTAGAAGTTCGTGGTTGGCCCCTAGGACCAGGATACAATGGGTTTTCACAGATTAACTTGATATTTGTTGGACTCTATAGGAGAAAGCATACTGTGGCTGACGACAGAGCCAGAAGATACATAGAATTGTTCTATGGAAGTAAAATAATAACACATACATAAATGGAAAAAGCTACAAAAGGCTAGATAAATCATTTGAATTCTGCTGGTTTATAACACGGAATTTATTTTGTCACTGCTAGCTTTTTTTTTTCATTTCCCCCCAAGAAATGGCAGACAGTTCGATAGTATAAAAGAAAAAAGAGAATGTAAAAAGAAGGTAGATAAAAAAAAATTTTTTAAAAAAAAAAACAAAAACAAAAAAAAAGAAAGAAAAGAAAAGTAGCTTACCTGCAACTTGCAAATTTGTTTCCCCTGAACTTAGTGAAGCTGGGGGTATAACAGGCGCTGTCATCCTGAAGAAAGAATTCAGATGAGCAAGAGAAAATCAATAACGAATACCAGAATCATTTCAAAATTACAAAATCCCTCGAGGTTTGATTCAGTATTAGTACTTCAAGGAATAGTATCTTTACAAATATATCAATGGGATTTTGCATTTAAAAAATGAAGGAGCAAATTCTAAGATGAAATCAATCCAGCACATGTTTCACATAATCACTCAATTTCTCATGGCTCCATTTTTATCAAATTGAAAAAGTGTCCCTTTAAGAAAATGAAAATCACTTGACACTGCAATTTTATTTCTTATTCATGCCACAAATTTTGCAGACATTGTATAATACAACAGAAGTGGGAATCTCAATTGAATAAGCAATATTTCGCACTCCACTATAACCAAAAAAGTACACAGAAACACACACACCACATGTAACCACACAGAAACAGATGAATATATGCTCACGTGAGAATGTTATAAACGAGAACGACAGAGCAATAGCCTAGATCATTAAATCATCATACCCAGTGGTAGGAGTGACAATAACATCCACATTTTTGAAGATCTCCATATGGTAGTACATTAGCCTTCTCCTATAATATAACAGATGAAATTAGGAGTTAGAAATGCCAATTAAAAGCAAGGCTTATACGACCTAATTTGTGATTGTCAGAATATTTAATCAGAAAAATTTGAGCAATACAAGAATGTCCTCAACACATTTGATTTATTAAATAACTTTGTAGTAATGTCTTGAAGAACATAATAATTTGATGCCAAAGTAGTGGGATGGTTGACTGGCTCAGTATATGGTGTGATTTCTTGCTTGGAAATACTGCCATACAGATTACTACTTGAGAAAAGTGCCAACGGGCAAGGAAGAAGAAGGCCAACCTGCCTATACTACCACAGTTTGTGTTTCCTAAGGCTGAACATAAAATTCCATTTGAGATTGATGATACAAGACTTGGCCTAATTTCATTAAATATATAATTAATCTAGCTCTTGTTCAATCATATATGAATAGCTGCTAGGACCTAATTTTATAATAACTAAAAAAAAAAAAACATGTTGAATAAATCTCGCTGCCGGAGTTCAACAAGGTTGGGACTGGCAAAATGTTATCATATAAAAGGATCTGTGACAAGCCTACTAAGAGTAAATAATTCAGATAACAAAGGACTCCCAATGAAAGAGATACACTAAATGCACATGGAACATAATCCAAGAGTTTGTTTTACCTCAGACATTGAGCAGCAACGTAATCTGATGCTGAGAAAGACTGGAAAAGAGCTAGGTTTGTCCGAGTGTCGTGTGTAAATTTTACCCTTTTTCTACACAAATGTAGAGATTTATTTAAGCATATTAGTTTGGCCATAGCATATGACAAAACATGAACTCCAAATTTATGAGCCGTACAGCTCAGTTTAGAAGTAAAACAGACCCGTCCTCAAAATCAGGATTCAAGCCACAAGCTGCCTCGGAACCAATTGAAACAATGTGGGAAGTGCGCATCTCATGAAGCTCTGGGATAACAATCTCCACTGTCTTTTTCCATCAAGAGGAAAAAAAACCCAAAGCAGGAAAGTTTAGGATTAGAGATACATACTCATGCTGCTGTGTGGTTCTTACAAGTTACAATGCGAGATACTTATTAATTCAGATAGTATGCATATCATACCTTGCATCCGTGTGCTTCGGATAAACGATTGAGAACATCCTCACACTTAACAGTGATATCAGCAGAGAATACATCATTAAACCACTGCAGGCATATCATACTCAATTAAATGATATTCGAAAATTGGGAGGTGAAACTATCTTTGGAAAGAGCAGGTGGTCACCTCTGTATACTTGCCTAGTCGTAATGATCCAAGGATGTCTGGACCCTTGTGTGAAGTTAAGTTGGGTAAACATGGGAGAGACTGCAAAGACACAACTTTTGAGAGTTAGGTTCCTCTCATTATCTTGACATGCATGATTGACAATGATAAATGCATCATGAAATTCTATTAGAACTGTAAAATGAGGAGTACCATGATATTAAAAAACTTACAGGTTTCATGGAGATTCTTTCAGCAATTGAGGATCCCAAAATTGCTGCGTACCTGAATTCCACACGGTCAGCATCTTATCCTCTCAGTCGCACAAACAGTTAGTTCAAACATGTAAGAATTGGACATTGTTTGACTGCTTCAATCATTCATATTCCTATTTCATATCATGCCAGCAGATAATTTTGCCAGCAAAGCAGATTAAGTGTCGTACACAAACT